GCAAAGATATATAATACATAATATAAATTATCATCATGAAAGCGAAAATAGTCAAAGCTAAAGTAGAGGGTCAAAAAATTAATTGTCACCTTGAACCAGGTTTTCACGGTCCTTCTATGTATAGTGATAAGCTCCTCAAGAAAATCGGCGGCAAAATTAGCAGAAAGCTGACTCCCAAAGAAAAAGATAGTAAATTCGTTAGAGAAGAAACCACAGCTTCACTTGGATTGGCTGTAATCCCACTTACCTTTACTTCTAATGTAATAAAAAATCATCGCCTTAGTAATTATGAATCCATCACAATCCTGACTAAAGTACTTGTAGAAAAATATGGTCCCCAAATGTCTAATTTTATCCTGTTCGGTAATAATTGGTTCTATGGACGTAATAACGATAGGTTTTAGACGTATCTACTGGAAATAGTAACAGATGCAGAAAATACTTTGGTAAGAACCACCTTACGCATTAAGGACCTCAGCTGGAAAGTTGGCATAGCCAAAGCTAAAAGGAAGTCAAGAGTTAATGTATATGTTAATAAAAGGTCTATTCACGATTTTTACAAATTACTTCCTGGAAAATCGAAAGATGAGTCGAAGACTCGAGACTTTGTCTCTTCATTATCCCGCAGATTAAATACTTCTAATTCGGATACTTCTTTCAACTCAGATATTTCGGATAGCGATTCAAACGATTTAAGTAATTCTTCCTCATCATGTTCGGGATCAGAAGATAAGCACATATATAAGACTGTGGCTGTTATATACCCGAAGCGATGTCGCAAAGTAAAAAAGAAAAATTAATTACATATAAGCAAAATATAATAATCACGATATAATGGAAGAATATACTCAAAATTTCCTTGAACAATTCCTAAAGGATCATAATGTGTTAAGAAAATATATATCTCCAAAAAATCCGTACAGGCGATGTATTAAATGCCGACGTGTGTATAGATTTTCAGTTGATACTCAATTAAGATATCATCAATATTGTTATCTGTGTTCCAGAAAACAAACAGTATTAACTATTCAGCGAATATTTTGTTCATGACATCGAAGACGAATAGATTCAGCTAAAATCATCCAAAACGCAGTAATTAAGTAACTTTATCGATCCGATGGATCATTTATGAAGCAAGCCAAAGATCGATATTACCAATGGGCTGAACTGATAAGTGATATAATAAGCCTCGAGAGAGCGATGACATGTGACTAATTTTTCGTTTAATAAATTATATTTACTTAATGTAGGAAAGCAAGTAGGCCTACCCATCTGCCATATTTAATTTTTTTATCTAGCTTAGAGAATTGTACGTCCAAATTTGAGACAGACTCTTCTGATCTTGAGAATGTATAATTATTTATCGAGTTATTAGTTATTTTTCATGATAATATATATTATTAAATACACTTAATATGTTCGTTGATACACTCATCAAAGGAAAAACCCCAGTTAAAATGTTAATTGATACATCCTCGGAATTTAATACCATTAGTAAGAGGTTGCTCGATAAACTTAAATCAAATCATGGAATACTCCCTAGCTGTGGTCCTGCTGAATGTCTCTATGGAGACGTAATAGGTGAGATAAATTGCTTAGATTTACAGTTTCGCTATAAAGGAAAATGGCAAAGTTTAGATTATACCGATGCAATATACTTCAAAATTCGCAAGAATCCAACATTTGATCTGGTATTGGGTCGAGGGTGGTTGTGGGTACATGAAGTTAAGATGAACTTTAAATTATCTTCTAAAGGAAGCTGTGATCCTCATGCTAAAATTGAGATAGATGGTATGAGTATCCCATTAATCGATAAAGATTTTAACAAAGCCAGCTCCACTAAAAATAACTTATCTAAATCAACGGAATCTAAACCTGGTCTAGCTCAAGAGGAGGTTATGAATATAATTAACAAAA